AGTTTATATGTCTGAATTGATTCGATACGCAAGAGCATGCTCTACCTATAAACAATTTCTAAAACGAAGTAAATTATTGACAAACAAGTTGAAGAAACAGGAACATCAGCAGTCTCGTTCAGTCCTCATTTCGTACGTTCTATGGTCGATACAATGACCTTGTCAGCAAATACAATATATCATTGAGTCAAATGCTGACTGACGTTTATAATTTAATTGTAAGTCATTATTTATGCACTGAATTGACGACAATATTTTTTGTTATTTTCCGATAATGGCAAGGAGCACACGGCGGGTGTGATCGGTCGTCAAGGGATGCTCACTCCTCCGTGGCTCCTGATCCTAGCTCTGATGTTTTAGAGGTCTTTGTTTTGTTCTGCTATTTTTATTTTGTATTGTTTTATGAAAGTTTGATCTTGAACAATGTTCGTTAATTTCATATGTTTAATACAAACAAATTTGATGCATAACAGAAGGTAGTATGTGTTTGCATGGATCTTTTGTGAGCCAATATAGCCTGTCCTCGCCTTCGAAAATGTAAATGGGCCTAAACATTGTGTATGTTTCGAAAGAAAAGTATACGTTACATTTAGTATCATTATATTAATATTACAAAATTAAAAATCTCAGAACTTCATCGGAAAAAAAGAAACTGTATAAAATGCTGTTTGGTGAAATCGAAACTTTAATTTAGTAATGCTTGGGATCCCATTGTGAATAAGACTTCCTATTACGTAAATCATTTTAAATTCCTGGAACTGAGCAATCTGCTTTCATGCCCCCTCTTACGAAACTACATCGTAGGCACTTGGCGTAATATCTGTTGTAATTTTCACCTTCTCCTACGAATTATAAGGAAAGAAGATATTTTTATAGGAGAAGTAACACACGGTGATCAGTTTTATTAATCCAGTAACGAACTAGAGAAAACACGAAATACTGAAACACCACACTTGTATCACGAGACTAGAGGAAAGCATCTTCTGTTGACCGGTTTATGACTTCCATGAGTTGTGAAAGTGAGTATAAATGCTATGATCTGAAAATGGTAAAAAACGGGCACAACTTTAGGTCTTATTAACATTTTTTTGTCTTGTAAACATCGTAGAATTTGCGAAAAGCTTATTATTACAAACTGGAAACGAATTTGACCAAAAGCGTCTCAAAGATATTATCTACAATAGTTAAGCTTTCTCCGATATTTAAAAAAAGGAAATGGAGAGGACAACATTATTCCAGTTAGCAAATACATAGAATATGGCGTTTATTTTCTTTTAACCCACCCTTTTTTGATGACAGGCATATCAGTGCCTGCTTTATGATATATGTAATTTTAGGGGGTCAGATTGCATAATATGATACCAAAGATTTTTGTATTCTTTCAAAGTTTTTTCTAGTCTGGTCTGACCCCCTTATAATACGTTTATATTTTGTTTTGCGTCATTTACTTCAATAAATGACATTTTTTCACTTTCACTACTGTTGTTATTTTATTTTTAATCCATCAAAAAACTAGCTCAGTTGACTTGGCTTCGGTCTTGCATAATAACAGAGGAACATACATATAAATATGTAGACAATAAAACTGAAGGTCTGTCTCAAACACTGCACGTATAACGGATTAACATTTGAGATTGACAGACAAAGGATGAAAGTTCGAGGCAGTTCATAAGTCTGACCCAATTCTAAATTCTGCAAAGTTATTTTTGAGAGGAAGCAGTGTTAACATAGAAATAAGATTAATTAATAATCTTTTGAAGATTTATTCAGGAAAAACATACACCTGCTTGCTAGTGGTATGTTTAAATTATTTTCTAACGAAAGATTTTGGGTTTTTTTTGGGTGTGCAGTCACGTCACCTTAAATTTTGACCCAGATTATGTATAGGGATGATCTGAGGAAAGGTTTATCTAATATTTTTCAAACGTGTTCTTTTAAATACATGTATAGATGGAACAATCGTTATATATACATTCCATATTTGAGCGTATAGCAATGTGTTCTACCTGAGTGAGCGGAGCAGACACACAGAGAAAACATCTCTCTGATCTCATGCATTGTTAAAATCAAAAGCTTTCATATCCAAATGGGGCTTTAAAGCTTGACATATTGTGTTGAGAAAATTACTGGGGAATCCCCGAAAAGAAAAGTAAGAGAATCTGTGTCCCCTGCATAATGAAAAAAGTAGAGCATGTGCGAAACTCGTGGGGTGCGGATACTTTAAGAATGGGCGAGACCAAAGGGAGTTAAGTATTTACGGAAAATTTAATTGCAAAAAAAACTCAAAAGCCTCCTGAGATATCGCCCGGGATTGAAAGTTTTATACATACCAGGGATGGGGTAATGGTACAATGAAGCGCATTGAAGTGGTAAAATTTTCTGTTTGGATGAAAGGTTTTGAGTTATCTTAAGACACGCCCATTTCTTTAGAAAAGAAAAATCGGTCAAACGATTCAATCGAATACCTGTAGAACAGGTTTTTCGTAAATATAACATCAAATGAAATTGACGGTCTACTAAACACCGAGTAAGCACGTGTTCGATTGATACATGTGCTATGCGTACTCCAATAAACATGATAAAATCAAAACTATGTACAAATTCGTTGCTTGCGTGTTTTACATAAGCGGGAACTCTATACGTAGCTATTTATTATAAAAAAAAATCTTCATTTCAGTGTAACTCATGTTGCTTTTCGCGGAAAGTGTAGTATCCTGAAACATTACGACGAGTATTCCTTTCTTGTTTCTAAAGAAATGGGTGTGTCGTAATGTTATAATTGACGTTCAAAACATGACTCAGAACGTTTCATCCAAATGGAAAATTTTACCACTTCAGTGCGCTTCATTGTAATTGACTGTAATTAATTACAAGTTTTGATGTTATTGAAAGTAATGTGTAGTTGGCCAAATTTTCAATTACAAGTTAATTGTTCACTGTAAATATTTAATGTAATATCCTCTCTATACTGTTTTGTACAGTTCATGAGAATAAAGTCTTGGTAATTTATTTAATTACTTTCCAAAAAGGCATGTAATTCACAATTACTTTTCAATTACATTCAATTGTACTGATTTTAAATAAATGAAAAAATCCTCCACTCCCCCACCATCTCATAAACATTATTTAAGAAATGTTAACTAATTTTTTGGAGCAAATATTCTGATAGTAGAATTTCTGAAAAAGAATTTTAACATAATAATATTTCCCTTTTCAAGTATATTGCTTGTTAAATATTGTCCTAATTTATTTTCTTTAAAACTTTTAAATCAAATTAATCTTTGTAAAGTGAAGAAATAAAATTTATAATTTGATATTTTAATTAATTAATCCATATCAAGATAAGTAGTCCAATTGCTTTTAAGGTCACACGCAATGTAGTTTGAAATTTATTGGGTTCTTCCCTGGAGTTGAAGAGTTCCACTAAATGAAGTATCCGTGTGCAATACTTTTAATGTCTCTATATGGATTTGTATACCTCTTCTAAAACCATTTTTGATGAAAAAAAAATCTGGAATTTATGTTTTGTAATTTTTACTTTAAACATATTTTTATTGAGTAATTCAATCAGGATTGGGCAACAGGCAATGCCTATGTACACCCTCTACTTGTATAATTGGTCAAGATACAATAGTAGGTATAAATAATACATGAACATGATAATCAATGAAATTATAATGAAAAATAAGGATTCACAATCAAGTATTATTTATCAATATTATATTTCAAAAAAAAGACGACAACCCCCTAACTACATATTATTTATATACTGTTCCAGCTTAAAAATAATACAAATATTTGAAAAAAAAAATTATGCATTTAATAGAATATTTAATATAACAGTGCCCCTAATTTTTTGTAATTTTTGTGTATTTTTCTTTGAATAATGCAAAATTTTTCACAATTTGATATCTTTTCAAAACCCCTGGTAACGCATGCTGAATTTATGTATAAGAACATTTAATGATATTGTAAGTTTAAATTTAGAATATCTTGAAAAATTATCAGTAGGTGAGATACGTTGCGTATGTCCTTAATCCTCTTGTTTGCAACATCTTCAGCTTGTGTTAGAAGTTATTATCAAGTGCCCTGGGGTCATATACATATTCCTTAATTATAGATATTTTTCACACATTTTGACCTTGTCTCTTGGTATTATTATACACACACACCTTTGACTTTAAATTATCTATGTATTCCTGTCACAAATACCCCAGTAAACAGAATCTTCAGTGTGGCAGGAAAATCTTTAAAGCTAATAGATGTAGGTCAGGAGACACAGTTATTGAAAATTGTATGAACATCTTAAAAATATTATTGTAAAAACATGTTGTAAAATAATCTGATAATAAATATAAAGGATTAGAAATGTGTACACATGACTATTTCCGTTAAAATTTATACATGTTTTCTTGAATGTAATGTGTAATTTAATTATTTACATTTGCAAAGTAATTGTAATTTAATTAATTACATTTCAAAATCCATGTAATGGTAATTTAATTGAAAGTTTTGGGAAAGTAACTGTAATTTGATTAATTACTTTCCTATGTAATTGACCCCATCCCTGATATATACACTGTAAAACACAGGATGTATGAATTTACGACCCTGACCTTTGACATTTTGACCTCAAATTAATAGGGGTCATCTATTGGTTATAGGGAGTTGTGATATAAAATTTCACTGCAAAAGCTCAAAGGTATCTCGAGATTTGCGGAAACGAAAGTTTTAAACATAATTATTGACCTTGGCCTTTGACCTAAAAATCAACTGAGGTCTAGCTTGGGGCATAGGGAATTGTATAATATTGTGTAATATTTCATTGCAAAAGATCTTACACAAGAAATACAGACGGACTGATGGACGAACTGACAAAAGACCGAAATTTAAATCTTCACTTTCAATGAAAGCGAGGGACAAAAATGTGATGGTAGGGGAGAGTGTTGCATCATCCAGGTATAAATGAATTTTTAATATTCTTAATTGCAGATAACTGGAAGAAAGCATAATGGCTGATAACAATAAATATGACTACGCCTACGATTATCCTGAAATGGAAGATCCGTTTGTCAGTGTAGAGACTTGCAGACAAACGGACAAACCAGAACCACAGATATTACAAAGTCTGATCTTCAAAGAAAATGGTGATGTAACCAACTATATCTCCCATGGAGAGAACGATCATAGGCATTTATGCCTGCTGTTCAATCCATTTCATTAAATGAATTAAATCATTAAATATATTTTAAACTAACCAACTATAACATGCAATACTTAGTCTAGTATTATAGAATTTTAGTTAAGCGAACAACAAGTTGAATTTATAAGCATTTAAATGCAAAGGAATCATGTTTCTTATTAATTAATCACACTTAATCAACATTAATTTTGTAGGAAACATCAAAGATTTGACCGCCGATGACTTTATTTCTTTTCTGGAAAACAATAAAGGAGCAATAGGAAAAGACATCCTGAGATTTGCAGAGACACAATTAGTGCCAAAACTTCAGAAATCCAAAGACATTACATCGCTCTCAACGCTGCTTTCTATTGACGAAATTAAATTTCAGAATTGTGTTTTGAGATCTCTTCAAAAATTATTAATGGAGATAGATCTCAATGAATATTCGGTGGAAGTCATTCAATTGTGTCTGAAAAACATTGCACAATTTTTGCAAAATTCTCAAGAAGAAGATTCTCTTCAAATGATTGTGATGACAGTTCCAACTGTGCTTCGAAGTTGTGCGATAGCCGTAATGCTCCACTGCTGCTACAGAAAAGTAAAAAAAGCGATGTTTAACAACATTAATAAGAGTTGCGAAACAATAGAAAAAGTATGGAAAACTGCTATTTCTAGAAAAGGAATAAAAAAGGAGGAACCATTAGATTACCAGATGGTTCAGGGAGGTTTGGCTTTGGCTGCAACCATGGGGAAGTTTAAGTATGGGCCACATTTAAGGGATATTTTTCAAAGTTTGGACGATTCTTTTACATCCTCGGGACATGATTTGTCACTCGAGAAGATAGGAAGTAATGGGACTGTTGCAGACCAATATGTTGTTACTCTGGGAATCTTAACAAAGGTAAGAAAGAAGTGTTTGAGCATTACTTTTTATTCCATTGTCAAGGGGCTAATTGAAAATTACTAATTAGTATTTTGATTTAACTTTTTTTCTAGATGACAAGCAATCCACCACAAATGTGTAAGAGGTTCATTAGTTTTTTGCATTCAATACTTCACCAAAAAAATATTGAAAAGAGAAGGACAGATCCTGAATTCAAGCAACTTGGACATCTTGTTATTAGTGGAATAGCATTTATAGCAAGAAAATGTATGTATATTGTATGTCAATTCATCATAATGATTCATACCTTAAACAGGTTGGAGAGAATACTAGAAATCGGGTACTAGTATTATCCGTGAAATCGCGTATAATACCCGATATATATATTAGGGTTTGTTTGAACATATTTCATTGCACAAAATATATACAATGGGATTGGACACAAGTTCTAAAAACTTAAATCGCCCTTTCCCTACATGAGATATTATAACAGGATGAATTAGAAGTGTTCAACAGTTTGTACAAAATAAATAACAAGTAAATTAAATAAACTCTCATTGTGGACATATATAGACTGCTACATCCGCGAAATCGGGTATTCCGTGCAACTTTTTATAAAACTAAAGAATAAAGCAACGGCGCATTATGCCAGTTACCCAATTTATATGGTTGTCAAATAAGTTTACAATCACACGACAAACACTGCTGGGGTAACAAAGAAAACTCAATGGCGTTATTATTTTTTCAATGTAATTTCTAAAAACAAATAACTACACTTAATTTGTCTTTATTTCCCATTAAAGTATTCCATGTACACTATTCACAATATGTGAAACTTTAAAGAAATCAAACGACTAACGTCGTGTTATGTATTTGTACTGAAAAATGTATGGCGTCCCTTTCACGTGAAATATAAATTATTCCTAACAGTTAAAAAGTACAGTATAAGCAAGCCATAATTGTATAGCTCTGCCATAATAATACAAAAGTTATTATAAAGAAGAAAATAAAATGAGATTAAATAAATACCCACGGGAAAACAGGTTGAAAATAGCTATAATTTAAGGTGAGTATCTGTTTTATGTAAATTTAACAAGGAATTTTTTATTCAAAGACACAATAAAATTTTTGGGTGCATTTTTAAGCATTGAATTCATATTTTTGGATGTCTTCTGTCCTATAACACACCTGGCCGTGCCGACAAATTGAATACCGCGCGTTAGAAAATTACACTGAATGTAAATATTTATCGATACAAGATATGCGATTTTACCTGTATTTTATGCATTTGTATGAAAATTGAGAGCGAGAAGTCATGTGAACAGGATTTTCTTGTTTGGTTTTTTTTTTTTGGGGGGGGGGGTATAAATAGAAGTCAAATAATATGTACATCTTTTCATGAGCTTATAATACATTGAATTTCTCAATGTAGATCGAGGCAAAGTAATATTGAAATATGAATTACATAGTCAAGTTTTCACATTTCTTACAGTTTTAAGTTTATGAACAACTTAAATAATAGAGTTCAATTGCGCCTTGGGCACTCTTGTGCAGCTACTTTTTGGGAATATATGTAGCCACTTCCTTTCTTTATCATACTATTTGATACACAGGTAGATTTTACCAACTGTGGTCTATTTTACGCATTTTTTAATATCGCTAGACAATATGTCACAGTTTTCTTTTAGTTATTTCATATGTTAGCTTGTTTAACAGTGTTTATTACAAACTTAGTAATAAATTCAGGTTTTTTGCACATTCGATATGGCTGGCGTCACGATAGCCGTATCAGTCCTGCAGGGCTGATAACCTATATCAGTCCCGCAAATCCATATAAGCCCTGCAGGGCTGATACGGCTATTGTGACGTCAATATCACACACTTAGTAAATTAAACCACAAAACAGTACTTGTGATCAAAAGGGTATATATTATTCTCTATTTTTAATGACTTTTATAAAACTCTAGAGATACTGTTAGCAATGAGCTCACTAAATGAACCCCCCGCCTCCCATAATGTCCATGTGTTGCTATATATTGTTTTACGGTAATGTGTAAAGAGGAATAACTCGTCCACTTAAATGTTATCCAGAAGCTTCTATATGTGACGTTATAGGTAAACATATAATGGCAATGTCCATGTTTTGCTATGGGAAACCTAAAATACGTGTCGAATAAAAAAGTAAAATAGGAGGTGCACAATGACAATATGTAATAAAGATTCTGTGAAAGTTTCATTAAATTTCAATCAGTAGTAAATAAAATATTTTTCAGAATATATGAAGAGTTTATATCCAAAATGTAATAAAAAGAAATTCCCCCTGAAAATTCAAAAGATTCTTTTAATAAGTTACAGATTAATTAATCATCTTACCAAAGTGTACACTGATAACCCTACAGATTTATACCACACAGCACAATTATCTAATGGACAAACATTAAAAGCAATTACTTTTAGGTAATTAATTTCCTGATAATGATTTTAAATGATGTATGCATAAACAAAAATGTGCCCTTTCAACAATACAAACTAATTATAAGTACTGGACACTGTTATATCTCTAATTAAATGACCAAATGAATAATTATATCATTTTAATAGACACATTCTTCACACCTTTAAGGTAATCCAAGAGGAGTGTATTTTAATTTTGTTTTAAATAAAATCTTATTATTGGTCAACGATGAGAATTTAATTCAATTTCTGATAAAACTTCAGTTTTTGCCAGATTTTTTTTTCTTTTTGATGCTTGTATACTTAAAATCCGAATATTCGAATCATGAATTTATATTCGAATATCAACTCATCGAATGAATATTCGAATATTCGAATATTCGTTGGCATCCCTAGTTGCTATACATTGTTTTACGGTAATGTGTAAAGAGGAATAACTCGACCTATCAAATGTTATCCAGAAGCTTCTAGATGTCACGTCATAAGTAAACATATAATGGCAATGTCCATGTTTTGCTATGGGAAATTTAAAGTACGTGTCGATCAAAAAAGTAAAATAGGAGGTGCACAATGGCAATATGTAACAAAGATCCTGTGAAAGTTTCATTAAATTTCACTCAGTAGTATAAGTAAACCATATATTTAAAATTTTTAATTAAAATAATAACTGAAATCTATCCTCCTTCTTAGTTCTAACCTGATTAAATTTTTATACTCGTTCGTTCCCCTTCTTGCCTAGTAACACAATTAAGATAATCATGTACTTGTAAAAATATATATATTCATATGCGTAGTCAAAGGGGGGGGGGGGGAGGCAGCGGGGGCATTAGCCCCCCCCCCCTTTCAGATCGGGGGGGGGGGCACAGACATACTCTTGCCCCCCCCCCCCCCCCCCCACTTAATGTAGAACAAAATCACAGCTATGTTGAAATAAAATTAAACCTCATTTTATGGTATTTTATTTTCAATGACATCTGAGTAAGCATTTCTCTTGAATAAATAGTTGTATATATAGTAATTAAATCTGTCAAGACCTCTTGTTTTCCCCATTTTGGGATAGGGATTATGGGTCATAAATTTAAGTTCAGACGTTTTCTGTTTCACTCAGCATCTGTGATTTAACAAAATAAAATGAGAATCACAAGCTGCCCCGTCCCATGTGTTGACATCAGAAAGTTATCTATTTAGTTTCTGAATCCCATTTCTTGTTTAACACATATTCACAAAATACGTTTTGGCAAACATCTGGATTTTTAATTATTTATAATTTTGCCCATAGTTATCGGCACCGGGGGGCTAGGTGGGGCTTAGCCCCCCCCCCCCAATTTTTTCCAATTTGAACATTGCTTGGGAGGTCTAAACCCCCCCCCCCCCAACGAAATAGAATTTTTGTGTTTGAAAATCCCCCCCCCCTTTTTTTTTGGCTTGTCAAGGAATTTTTTGAGTTAAGCCTCCCGCCCCCACTTTTAAGTTTGTGATTACGCCTCTGCATTCCTATAAACGATAACTCATAAATCGGCACTTAGTTGGTCATTTTTCACACCCGAGTTACCTGTCCTTAAAACATAACATCGTAAAAGTCAATTTTGAATTATTAATTTTTTAATGATTTAATTAAAAGTATGCATAAGTTATTATCTTTTTTGATATTTTCATGTACCTATAAATCTATCTATGCAATGTTTTTACCATATGTGAAAAATTAGTTGCAGTGGCGGATTTAAGGGGGCGCACCTGACGCGCTCCCCCTCCCAAAAAAATTGTCAAAGCATAAAACATAGTTTTGTCGAGAAAATGTTTAAAATGTCTACTCGGTAGACCTTATTTTTACCCTACAAAACCTCTAGAATCCAAGGGCTTCCGGAGTATTAATGGCCGTTATTAACTGTTATTTATTAAAAAAATGCTGTATACAATTGAAAAGTTTTCCTCCTTTTTACTCTCCTAAATTTGGTATGATTTTTTCATATAAAAAACCGTGCATGATCGTTTTATAAACAGTTCTTTTGTCCCGACTCGATGGGCGGAGCTATATAAAAGTGTGGGTTATATACAGAAAACCCACACTTTTGACAAAAGAAATCACACCTACCTATGATACAATATATCATGCATTATGAAATCATTTGCGCTTGCTGTTCTTGCATTTGTGTCACCAATCAACAAAACTTTCCCAAAATTCATATATTCAACAATTTTGTTTTCGAGATCACTAAATATATCGCAATCATAAGTTTGGTAGAAATTAGAACTACTTGGTGGTGTATACACACTTTGCAAGCCCTATACATATCTTCAGGGCTTTGTAATATACATTTATCAAGCTTAAGCCATATACATGTAATAGTGTCATACATATTTTCAAGAAAAGATACATATTGCTTAATATTTTTATGAATCAAAATAATACAACCTCCACCTTCTTTAGCTTTCGAAAATTTTCTAGGAAAAACAAAACTATAAAATCCTTCCACCTCAACAGAGAACTACTTTTTCGATCCAGCATTCCGTTAAAAGGATGATGTCATACGATAGGATAAAACAACGAAAATTTTTATCGGTGAATTTAGAGGAAAACCCTCCGTTTATGTTCCAACTAATGACTTTTAGTTAAACAATCATTCTCCACTGTCCCCTATGCATCACTTCCCCAATTTTCGGCACCCTGTGTTTGACTCGCTACGGGCTTTACATTCTTGGAATTCCTCGCTCTATTTTCCCTGGCCTCTTCCTCCTCTCCATTCTCTCTGTATAGACGTCCGTCTATGCATAGCTTATCGACACTCAGCACTGCGCGTCTGTTATTCTGGAAGGCTCTCTGCATATCCGGGAATAATGCTTTTCGCCTATCCACTAGAAAAACTGGAAACTGCTCTTTTACATTAAAGCCTGTATCTTTCAATTTGAATGCACATATCCTAACCTTTTCTCGTTCCTTAAAGCTGGAAAATTTCACAACAATAGGCCGCACTGTTTGATTGCTGAATCTTCCCAATCGATGGGCACGCTCAATGTAGTTTCCAACTCCAGATATATTCAACTCGGTTTCACAAAAGTCATTTATGAGTCTTTCACAATTCTCTCTTCTATTACCACGGTATTCAGCGAGGCCAAAAAACAATAAGTTGTCTCTCATGCTTCGACTCTGAAGGTCAAGAATTTTGTTATTGAGATCTGTGACCTGTTTCCTTAATTGCTCATTAATTACCTTTGTCTTCTCAGCCTCTTGCTCTTTTGTTAAGTTTAGAACCACAAATAACCACCTCCCAATTGAAAGAGGTAGATGGAATGGTACTCAAAGAAATGAAAGAGTTTGTAGCTAAGCTTATGCAGTAGTAACCAGATAGGAGATGAGTATCATTATATTTCAGAATGTAGTGCTTTACACCAACTAAGGAAACTTTATTTGAACCAAAAATTTTGCTCTAATCCAAATATCATCAAGTTTTTTGAAATCATGTGCCAAATTGATGTTGATTCTTTGAAACAATTATATACATTTATCTCTAAAATTAATAGTATTGTCTGTTCTCCTTAATTATCACCTTCTGCTTGACCCACTGGATTATATGTATGTATATGTTTTATATGTTTTTGTACCTCACGTACCAGTTTCATGGTTTTGAGTGAATAAATTGAATTGAATTTTAGCTCTGCCCAGAGACATATTAAACCATGTCTCTGCTCACATAGACTACTTTGCGTTTTACGTAGGTCCCCCATGGTATGTCCCAGTTTACCGGTATGACTCTCAACGCTGGATACACGTTTCTGAAGCGAATCCATGGATAGCACCACCGATTCCAGGTCATCGCTTATTTTGTCAATTCGCGATGATTTTAAGTCAATGCCTCCAATCCCCCTAAACAACTGATTAACCCATGCGGGTCTCTAACTAGAATTAGTACTAGTAGCAGTGTTCGAACGAGCCGGTGGTGGATCGACTGATTGCACATTGTTTACATTATTTACCTTTGACATCACTCCTGCCGCGTTTCGGTCGACTTCACCCGTCCCTGTTATTGATGACTTGGCCTCTGGTTTTGGGGTCGACCCATCCGATGATAATAATTCACCTTGGTTCCCCTTCCCTCCCTTCATCAACTTTCCTTTTTCTAGGTCAAAATACACCCTAAAACTCACTGAAGATTTCAAAAAATATGCCTTCTAACGAGAATCAACCGTCCATTTCCACGCATGCGTACATCAAAATACGAGCAGAATCCGGCCAGGGATTGAAAATCCGTCATTTAATAATACACACATGCAAATGATTAATTAGCTCACCTCAACGAAGTTGGGGAGCTTATGTAAAACCCTCGGCGTCGGTGTCGGCGTCGGCGTCCCAGGTTAAGGTTAAGTTTTTTGGAGCAGTTTTCTTTTTAAGTACTTCTATGTCCTATATTGATTAGACATGCATGGAAGATGGTTCTAGTGTGTTTCATTGTACCAGTCAAAGTTTCAGATGCTGCAATTTCAGCAAAGGAATGACCAGGTTAATGTTTTTGGAGCAGGTTAACATTTTTGGTGCAGTTTTTGGTGCAGGTTTCATTTCCAAGTAACTATAAGCCCTATGTTGACCAAACTTGCATGGATGATACATCTAAGGAAGCATACCACCAGGCTTGCTTCGGATGCTGAATCTGACCTACATTTTCTGGTTGATTGAACAGGTAAAAACTTTTGGTGCAGGCGTCATTTTAAGGTAACTATAAGCCCTATGTTGACCAAACTTGCATGGATGATACATATAAGGATGCATACTATCAGACTTGCTTCGGATGCTGAATCTGACCTACTTTTCGTGGATGAGTGAAAATGTTAGTTTTTCGTGCATGTTTCATTTACAAATAACTATGAGCCCTATAATGAGCAAACTTTCACGGACGATACATCTTAGGAAGCACACTAATGGAGTTGCTTCGGATGCTGAATTCGACAAACATTTTACAGATAATAGACCAGGTAAAAGCTATGAGTGCAGGTCTATTACCAAAAAAAAAAAACTATAACGTTTATAAAACATTGTATAAACCAAACTTGCACAAATGTTGCATCAAGAGATGAAAACTCAAATTTGCTTCAGATGCTGGATTTTGTTACATTTTCATGAAGAAAACATAGTTTAAATTTTTTATGTAGGTCTATTTCAAAGTATCAGATCAAAATTGATTAAATATTTTCATTTTTGGAATGTACACTTTTTGTTGGTTAATTGTGTGACGTTGCCTTACTTAAAGACAACATTCGTTGAGGTGAGCTCTGTAATCTTAACAAACAATTAACATGAATTAATAGAATTGTTTATATAGTATAATCAATTCATCGGTGAAAAAATATCAACCGAAGAATGACCTAGAAATTCTCTGTTATCAAACATGTTTAGATAAAAAAAAAAGCTTGGGAGGGAGGAGGGAGCGAGCGTAGGAATATTAGTAAACTATATTTTTATATATATATATATATATATATATATATATATATATATATATATATATATATATATATATATATATATATATATATATATATATATATATATATATATCTTGAACTGATAGTAAGCACTGATCGAATATATTAAAAAAATAAAAACGAATTTCAGTTATTTTCACTACTTGTAGTAGTATCATAATGTGTTAGAAAATAACAGGTTGCTTAACACAGTCAAGGTTGTTTTGTCAGCCTTTAGCCCCCCTTTTTTTAAGTCGCCAAGAAATGGTAAAATATTGATGACTTAGCGAAATTAAATGATCAACAGTTATTTTCTCTCATAAACTTTATTCCTGAAACTATCACTATCTCTGCTAAAGTGTTAAAGACATGTTAAAAATGATAAAAAAAAAGATTTTCAAAAAAAAGAGATTGAGGATTTTTTTGCCGAAATTTTAGACATTTTTATCATTACATTATTTGTACATTCATAATTAAATTTAATTTTATGCACAAGATGAATGTGAAAGTACTAAGTAATTAATGACGCATAATTAGATACGATAGACAGTCCCTTGTTTATATCTGGCATCATATCTAACAAGTGTGTGAAATGTGTTTCCGTATAATTTGATTTATTTACAAATTGTTCATGTTTGTCGTGTTGATGTGGAATTGTTATAAATTCCCGAATTCTGATACTTTATAATTCGGTTGTGTTGGGGATGAACATGAGGAAGATGCGTATACTTTCAAAATTATGAAAAATATAAAGCAAATCGAACGCCTTTTTGTGTCCTGAGCGCATTAATCTTGACGCTCAAGTAAAACATTTGTATCTAGATGAAAGCTAACTCAGCAACATGCGCCATCCCATTGTTTAAGTTTTATTAGGTGATTACACCTCCTATACCCGATTTTGCAGATTCAACCTTACCCTAGTATCGGGTATTACACGATTTCACGGATAATACCAGATTTCGAGTACATGTATTCTCTCCAACCTGTTAAATGGCTGAATGAGTCGGACCTACAGAAATCAGTTGTTATATAGGATTATATCAAAGTAACAAACTCTAATAAGTCTATTTGTTTTTAGTTTCTCAGATAGAAACGGAAAATTTTCACATCATTGATTTTTTTGCACGTGGCCAACAACTCCCCGAAGAAATGTCTGACTTTCTGTTGTCCGTAAACGCTACAGTAGCGCAACCATTTATTTCTAGCTTGAATCTCTCCGAGGGAACAATGATTGAGCTAGCCGAGTCCTATATTGCAAGAGCAATTCCAGGGCTAGTCGTTCATAACCAAGATCGAGAAAATCTTCCAAAACTGTCAGATCATTCTCATTGGATGGTATCCGGCGGTCGATTATTTAAAAACCCAGTGCGTATGGCAATTAAAGTACCAGGAATATCAGGTATTCAAATTCAAAATTGTAAGAATGTGATCGAAAGTAACCGATTAGTGAATGAATTTGATGTATTAAGGACAATACATGGAGGCAAAACTGCGAATATTGTGAAATTGTGGGCATTCAACCCTAACCCAAGTCCGTTATCGTTTTACGTTATTGAAAGGTTTCAGACATTCCTTGTCGATAAACTTTTGCATGCACGAAAGTATAATGAATTCCTATCAGAAGATTGGATGATTGAACGACTTTTGGACGTTGGAGGTGCCATTAATTTTCTTCACCAGAAGAAAATAATACACAGGGATATTACCATTAACTCTTTTGCAATAAGGGAATATCCATCTCCTGGACACGAAAGAGCGGTCCTCTGTAGTCTTCAGTTGGCCTGCTCTAACGACGACGAAGTATCAGCCAAAACGGGACATATAGCGGGTAGGTAATTAATGTTTCGTGACCCCATGTGTGTGTTTTAAGAGAAAAAAAATCGTTCTTATGTTGTCCAAAACCAAGAAAGGTAATCATGGGGTGTCTGTTAAAATTATTAAAATTATTACTGTTAAAATTATTTCATTTATTTAATCAGATTTTCATGGAGAGAACATTCCCACCAGATGGTCAGCCCCAGAATCACTTTGGGAAGATAAATACGATGTTTATACTGATATTTGGATGATCGGTCACGTGATCCACTCACTGTTCACTTACGGCTGTGAGCCATATACAGAGTTGTACAGTGAGACAACAGACGACATCATGGCGAAAGTCGTCTCCTGTGGATTGAAACCTTATAAATGGCCATGTGTTCCCCTGCCTTACCACAAACTTGCCGCCGACTGTCTGTGCTTTGACAGAGGAAAAAGAACAAGCATTGATATAATCTGTCAACGTTTGAAAGAAATAAGAAAAAAACAAGAAAGTGTTGAGAAATCTTGTAAGAATTTTAATTATTTCATTGATTATCTAAAACAAGAAACTGTACAAATAAATTTCAAACTAGCGAAAAGTAAAATGTAAAAAAAGGCAAGTAAATTATAAACTAAAAAATGGAATAAAAAAGGAATAAAACGCGGTATGGAGACGTGATAGAATTTTAAAGATAAAATATTTCTTCAATGAACGTTTGAAGAGGCGTTGTTTTATGTAATGATTCTTGTCTTTCACCTGAAGAGGTTAATTCTCACCAAAGACTTTTCTTAGTGTCCCTTGCAGATTGTGAACATGGGTTGCCCAAAATCTCAGATCAGCAAACTGGAAGACAACATAAACCCGAGCGGGTAAGAGAGAGAGAGAGAGAGAGAGAGAGAGAGAGAGAGAGAGAGAGAGAGAGAGAGAGAGAGAGCTATTTCCAAACATTTCTTTTTTTTCTTGGCAAAGTGTTTAGTATGATCTCTCATTTCTATATGTCCATCTCTAATACATACAAAATATTTCTTCTTATTTATAGGGAATTCCACCGGTGGTGAAGGAAATGAAAATGACAGGAAGTAAGATAAATACTGTTAATGAAATGAAATACGTGTATTTTTTTAATCCCTGCACAATATAAAATTGTAATTCTTTATTAATAGGAGATAAAAGAAAAAGCTACTTTGAAATAAAAACGCGTGTGCCAACAAGTCCTAATCCCGACTACGCGCCTCTTGTCATGACTTTGGGTAAAGAGGATCTTCTGTCTCCAGATGAACCAAAAATTAGAATAAAGGTTAGAGTTGATGCATATTGCGCTCGTAATGTTACGTTAAAAATATTCATTTTGTGTTGTAAGTTAAATATTTGATACACTTTTCAAGAAAATATAGATTGTTTCTTTCAATGTATGAAAACATGTTTAGTGCTTACAAACATATGAGTACAGTTGCAATTAGAGCTCTTTGTTATTTTAAGGAAAATAACTCTGCATTATTCTTAGCTAAAAATATTAAATTAATTATAGTAGGTAATCAGAGATTACAGAGCTCGGTCATTATAGGGTCCCTAGTAACCTTGGAATAAAACTGCACCTAAAACTTTAACCTGTCCACTCAACCGGAAAATGTAGGTCAGATTCAGCATCCGAATCAAGTCCGGTAGTATGCATCCTAAGATGTACCATCCATGCAAGTTTGGTCATTACAGGGTCCATAGTAACCTTGGAATGAAAACTGCACCTAAAACTTAAACCTGTTCACTCAACCGGAAATTGTAGGTCAGATTCAGCATCCGAAGCAAATCTGGTATTATGCATTCTTAGATGTACCATCCATGCAAGTTTGGTCACTATAGTGCTTTTAGTTACTTAGAAATGAGACCTGCAATGAAAGCATTAACCTGTTCACTCATGCGGAAAATGTAGGTCAGATTCAGCATCCGAAGCAAGCCTGCTAGTGTGCATTCTTAGACGTATCATCCATGCAAGTTTGGTCTATATAGGACTTATAGAAAAATTACTCGGAAATGAGACCTACACCAAAAATGTCAACCTGCTACAAAAACATTAACCTGGTCATTCCTTTGCTGAAATTGCAGCATCCGAAACTTTGACTGGTACAATGAAACACACTAGAAACATCTTCAATGTTAAGTTATTATAGGACATAAAAAACTGCTCCAAAAAACTTAACCTTAGCCAGGGACGCCAACGCCAAGGGTATTACATATAAGCTCCCCCAACTTCGTTGAAGTGAGCTAAAAAATCTTATATGTTTCAAAATTTCAAAGGTTGGAAAAGTTTCACCATATTCTTATGTTCATTAATAATCCTTTTTAGCTCACCTCGACAAAGTCGAGATGAGCTTATGCTATACCCCAGGCGTCCCGGTTAAAGTTTTTGGAGCAGGTCCATTCCCAATTAACTATAAGCCCTATCCAGACCAAACTTGCATGGATGATACATCTAGGGATGGACACCACCAGACTTGCTTCGGATGCTGGATCTGACCTACATTTTCCAGATGAGTGACCAGGTTAAAGTTTTTGGAGCAGGTACATTCCCAAGTAACTATAAACCCTACCTGGACCAAACTTGCATGGATGATGCATCTAGGGATGGACACTACCAGACTTGCTTCGGATGCTGGATCTGACCTACATTTTCCAGATGAGTGACCAGGTGAAAGTTTTTTGGAGCAACTCCATTTCCAAGTAACTATAAATTCTACCCGGACCCAAACTTGCATGGATGATGCATCTAGGGATGGACACTACCAGACTTGCATCTGATGCTGGATCTACATTTTCCAGATTAAGGACAAGGTTATTCCCTACTGAGACCACATTTGCATGGATGATGCATCTAAGGATGAACAATTGAAACTTGCTTCGGATGCTGGATCTGATTTACATATTCTAAATGAATGACCAGGTTAAATTTTTGGAACAGATCAATCCAAATGAAATTTTAGACCTATCTAAACAGAACTTGCTTGAATGTTGTTATCAGAATAAATACTAACTACCTGGTATTAAGAAAATATTATATTTGATTTGTATTACTTAAACTAATAACATTCGTCGAGGTGAGCTTCGTAATCTGTGATTACCTATGTTTTAAATTTATCTTTTGATCATATTAATGATTTCATTTTATTAAAGGAATGACTCTAATTCTTGGCCATATTATCGAGTATAACTGGATTGGGTCAGTTTACGCTTTATAAAAAAAAGCGTAAACTGACCCAAACCAGATTATACTTGATAATGTGGCCAAGAATTATAGTCATTCCTTATACGTTAATTTTAAAATAGTTAAACAACTTTGAACACAGCAAAGTTAGGGTTACAAATAGAAATATCGGCGATTTTTTAAGATAAACAAGCTAATTCGGAGAATTTGTGTCCCACACTTAGGGAAAAAGTAAACCATGTGCAGTTCGGGGGGGGGGGGGGGTCGGATCTCCCTGACTGAATTTGTAGAATTATTAAATGTATACATGTATACTGAAGTAAATAAAATATGTCAAAATGGATATAAAGATTCGATTGCTTATTCTTAATTATGTGTATAGAAGATTCTTTATACGTGTATATGGAATATTTATCACACTGTAATGATGATTTTATGAGTTTGTACAAGCTAGACCTCATAAATTTTTCATTTCACATGCTGAATACTATCATTTAGTAAAAAAATATTTCGGAAAAAAAAAGAAAACGGATCGTCTTTGAATCGAACCCGGGACCTCTCAGTTGTGAAGCGGGAGACATACCACTACACCACGGAAGTGCTATACTTCAATGAAAATTAGATGCAAAGATGAAGACACATACCAGTACATGTATAGATTCACGTTCGACATTGTCAAAATTTTACACAATGCATGGTGTCAAATTTTATCTTTATTAAACAGTTCTACATGTAATAGATGTAATAAGAATATAAAGTCCACCGAGAACCTGTTTTATACGTAATAACTCTCCTTCACGCCCCTGTGCTAAAAATAGCGACATGTAATACAATAAATACTAATAAAACAAACAGGTCGGGACACATTGAGAAGAGTGAGAGAGGTCTAAGGGAGTTTTGCTATAAAATTACATTGCAAAAGCTCAAAATCCTCTTGAAATATCGCCGGAAACGATAGTGTTACACACAAAATGAATGTATATATTTATGGCCTTGAACGTTGACCTTTTGACCTCAAAATCAATAGGGGTCTTTCTTAAGCCACAGTGAGTTGTTCTCTAAAATTTCATTGCAAAATCTCAAAGGGTTGAGATATCGTGTGGAAACAAAAGCATTACAGACAGACAGAATGACGGACGGACAGACCCAAATTAATATACCCCACTTTTCAAGCGGGGGACAAAAATACATTATACTTTATCAGGATGGGCGATTCTTTTTAGGACTTCACTGATATAAACAAGCTTAGTCATAGAATTCATGTCCCCCACTTAGGGAAAAAGTCGGATCCCCCTGACTGAATTAGTAGAATTATTAAATGTATACATGTATACTGATGCAAATAAAATACATGTATGTCAATATGCGTATAAAGATTTGATTGCTTATTCTCTATTATGTGTATAGAAGATTCTTTTTATATGGAATATTTATCACACTGTAATAATGATTTTATAACCTCATAAATTTTTCTTTTCACATGCTGAATACTATCATTTAAAAAAAAAGAAAAAAAAAAAGGATCGTCCAAGATTCGATCCAGGTACCTCTCACTTATGAAGCGTGAAACATACCACTAGACCACGGAGGCGCTTTAAATTTCGCCACGTATATGCAGAAGTGAAGTCACATACATGTATATATTCATGCTCGATATTGTCAAAATTTTACACAATCCATAGTGTTTGATTTATTTAGCCTTTATTAAACAGTTCTAATAGATGTTATAAGAATACAGTATTAAGTCCGCCGAGAACCTGTTTTATACGCAATAACTCTCCGCATGCCCCTCTGCTAAAAATAGCGACATGTAATACTACAAATACTAATAAAACAAACGGGGCGGGGCACTTTGAGAGGGGTGAGAGAGGTCCTAGGCATTTTTAGTATAAAATTACATTGCATAAGCTCAAAATCTTCTTGAAATATCGCCCGGAAATGATAGTGTTACACATAGACAGAATGTATAAATTTTCGACCTTGAACTTTGACCTTTTGACCTCAAAATCGATAGGGGTCTTCCCTAGGCCACAGGGAGTTGTTATGTAAAATTTCATTGCAATAGCGATTCTAGAAATATCGTGTGGAAACGAAAGTGTTATAACAGACAGAATTTGCTTATTTATGACCTTGACCTTTCACCTTTTGACCTCAAAATCAATAGGGGTCTTCTTTAGTTCATAGGAAGTTGCTATGCTAAATTTCATTGCAAAAGCTCAATTGGTTCTTGAGATATCGTGTGGAAACGAAAGCGTTACAGACAGACAGAAAGACGGACGGACGGACAAACCCAAATTAATATCCCCCACTTTTCGAGCGGGGGACAAAAAAATGTAATGTGGTGTAATTCTACATGTTTGGGACATTTAGATTTTTTATTAGCTCACCTGAGCTGAAAGCTCAAGTGAGCTTTTCTGACCATCCATTGTCCGTCGTCCGTCTAGCCGCCTGTCTGTCTGTCCGTCCATCTGTAAACTTTTCACATTTCCAACTTCTTCTCACTAACCACTGGGCCTATTTAACCAAACTTAGTACAAAGCATCTTTGGGTAAAGGGGAATGTAAATTATTGGGGAGGAACAGGACCTTTAGCTGAAAAAATTCCTGTCAATGAATTTTTTTCGAATTTTTTTTATTACTAATTTAATATGTACTTAACATTTTAAAACGGTCCTGTCATGGGATTTCTTGACTTATTTTAAAGATATCGCCCCACAAATACCGCCCTGTTTAGAGTTTGTATGGAGTTTATATTCTTCATGTTGATTTTTTGATGAAAACGGTGAAATACATGCAATAGATTACTTTTGGGATAAATTAAAATGTAAAAACAATATTTACTGTGAATATATTATTCTAAAAAAGACATTAAGACCTTTTAAATCAAGGCTTGATTGTTCCTATGCCAATTATATTAACATTCATAATAATGACTCGTTTTTGTTTAGAAACAATTGTTTTAAATCGATCAAAAAATATTCTTCATGTTTATGGGTCCATAAAGGAGTCCATATTTGGAATTTTTTCGCAGAAACAATAAATATGATAGATAACACAATATACTCAAATATTTCAGATTATTCATAGTGTTTAAATTATCTGAAAGCAATTGTTTTAATTTTATATAGTATTTAGGTGGGATAATTCCTGCATATTTCAAGGCAGCTTCAACGACAAAACCTCATTTGGAAAAAATTCTGTCAATAAATATTTCTAAATTTACGATTAAATGTCAGTCCTTCATCATAATTATTTCCTGCATAAATATCACAGGGTGAAGCTTACCTCAATATCGCACAGGACATTGTTGAAGTAGACGTAAGCATGATAAAAACGCTACACGTTTGTATTTTCCGAGTGCGGAAAATTAATTGTGACACACGAAAACATAAACACTCAAAATAATCTAAATAGAGAAAATCTCTGCTACTAAACACGAAAAAATATTTATTTTAAAAAATCTGCTTCAGAAATTTATCACGATACATTGAATGTGACCTGTTTTTTTAAGAAATGAATTTAATTTTTGAAGATTCATGAGGTTATGAACTACGACGCTTCACGCCGGCACATTTCATGAAGCGTGTTAGCGCTTCTTGATAAATATGCCGGCGTGAAGCGTTGTAGTTCATATACCTCATGGATCTTCAAAAAAAAAATTAAATTCATTTCTTATATTTACATTATTTTTCTGATGACTTGCCATTCATTTACGCCGTTCAACTGTCATTTTTAAAATAAAACAGTGTGCACTATATTTATTGACGTCAAGATCAGTATTATGACGTGACAATGGAGATATTCATGCTTATTCGTGATAAATACCTAATGAAGTTCATGTGAAAATATACTGCATTTTATTTTGTAAAGAATCATACGGGAAATTTATTGGAAATGTAAATATTATGAAATAAAACTGATCATGACAGGTGTGAGTACTTGATCTCTCTGCACTGAGAATTCAAACACTACGTCTATGACGTCACTTACGTCAGTCTGCAGGGTAAAGAGAAACGAATGTGTGGATTGGGCAACTTGATGACAAGATCTTTAAAGATTTTATTAATAATAATTTCTAAAATGTAAAAATCATTACCCCCGGGGGTAGGGCGGGGCCACGATAGGGAATCAAAGTTTTACATACAAATGTATTGGAACAATCTTAAAAAAAATCTTTTCCTGAAGAACCAGTGGGCCAGGAAAGCTGAAACTTATGTAGAAACATTCTGGGGTAGTGTACATTCTAAATTATTAAAATCATGACCCCCGGGATAGGGCGGGGCCACAATAGGGGATCCAAATTTCACATAGAAATATGTAGGAAGAATCTTTAAAAATCTTCTTCTCAAGAACCAGTGGGCCAATAAAGCTGAAACTTATGTGAAAGCATCCTGGGGTAGTATAAATTCTTAATTATCAAAATCATGACCCGAGGGGATAGGGCGAAACCACAAGATTGAATCCAAATTTTACATACAAATATATAGGAAAAATCTTTAAAAATCTTCTTCTCAAGAACCAGTTGGCCAAGAAACCTGAAACGTATGTAGAAGTATCCTATGGTAGTGTAGAGTCTAAGTTGTTAAAATATTGACCCTCGGAGGTAGGGCAGGGCAACAATAGGGAATCCAAGTTTTATATAGAAAAATATCATAGAAAAATCTTTTTTTCAAGAACCATTGGACCAGGAAAGCTGAAACTTATGTGGAAGCATCCTGGGGTAGTGTTGCTTCTAAATTATTAAAATCAAGATTTGGGTTGGGGTGGGGTAGGAGTCACAATAGATGTAAGAGGGGGAAATCTGGTAAAGAACTTCATCAACAAAGTTACTCAAGTGAGCGATGTGGCCCATGGGCCTCTTATTTAGATTTGTCCCGTGATGTCGACGTCACATGATTTTAAGAATTATACTTGCAGTTTAGAGGTCATCTATTAATTCCAATATTGCAAGGGCATAACCAAGTTAAAAATCTTAGTTTAATTTATAATCCTTTTAGACTACATATGTAGTTTGTGAGAAGAAGTGCCGCGAACCTATATAGATTCCCTTTTTATAGCTATAAAATTTAATTTGTTGGAAGGCAGGTGGAATATTTTGTTGGTCAACTTCGGGGTTTATAAAGCGTAAACTGCCCCAACCCAGTTTATACCGTATAAAATTGGAAGCTATTAAATTCATTCCTTAAATAAAAAAAAGAATAATATAAGAATATTAGAATAATGGAATAACTCTAGTTGTTCTTAGAATGAAAATTCTGCAATTGTAGAGATTTGAACTTGAAGTAGAGGAAGAAGTAACTGTGGACTTTCATGACAAAATATTACCCAAAATGAGCCCAGATTTTGGAGAGAAAATGTGCATACGATGGCCACCAGTGAAGCAGCCTTTTTATACCACCCAGGAAGGCAAAGTAATATTGGTAAGGGATTCAACTTGATTTAAGGGATTTCAAGGCAAAAAGTAATTTTTTTAAAAGGACAATATTCGGTATATTGCATAATTTTGCCTCCACATAAACATATTTTGAAAATTTCTTGAAATGTGCTGAGTTCTATATATTGTACGAAAAAAATAACAATGAATTTATAGTTTCAAAGCAAGATAGTTACAATTTTTTTTTTATAAAGCACAAACTACCGGTATTTGGATTTTGAATTATTTTTTAGAAAGAGGAAAAAATTGGGAAAATTTGCTCAAGTTTTACTAAAATATTAAAAGAGAGCAGGCCTGCTCTATATAAATATTTCATTGATCTAATCATACTTCGTATTATATCAAAATATTAAGCTGGAGTAGACCTGTGCTGGTGACATTCACTAAAAATATCGACGTAATAAATTATACTTTCTTTCTGTATAAATAATATTTTCTTAATTTACGTCATTTTCCTAAAGTTTGATTTCGGGGGCAAATACTCGTCATTTCCGAATATAGTCGATCTTAAGACACCTACCAAATTGTTCTTATAGAAATACAGTTTCCCAGCAGCTAAGAACATAATGGATTGCGTTTCCATATACGTTAACAACGCACAGGAAGAGGAAAATCATCACCTCCGTATTGTACATCAAGTCGCGTGTCTGGTGAAAAGGATGCATGAAAAACGTTGGCTATTGGTGGATTTAACTGGAAAAAGCATATATATTATTCGAGAGAAAAAAGATTTCAAGGTAGATTTGTCATAGATTTTTTGTTATCACGACCATACCAATTACATAATTGTTAACACTTTTTGGAGAATGATTAATTTTTCAAAATTAAAAATTAGTTCATTTATCAGTATGAAAAACACCAGTTAGCATACAATTTACGATAGAGACGATAAATCGTATTTGCTGACCAGGTCATTGTAGCATTGATAAAGCAAGATTATAACTTTAATGAGACTGTTGATATTCTTGTTTCATCAACATAAATGTCAATAACCCATCATTAAACAACTTCCATTTATATAACCAGGGTATATATATGTTTTCAACTGTATCATGTTTATACAGAAAAGTTTGGAAGTGGTCATCCATGGAATTCCAAATATTCATTGTACTTCTGAAAATATTTTAGGCTTGTCAATTACGAATAGGACGGATGTTGAGACTTCCATCTGGAGCAGATAGCATTAAGTGTGATAGAAAGCTAGAAGATATTATGCACTGGTACGTGTGGATAAAGTTCTTTCTCTGTATTTCAGATCGATTACAATTACTTGCTCATCAAAAATACTGTATTTTAATGTAAAAAAAAAAATAAAATCAATATTAATACATACGTTTTATTTTCGTTATGAAAATAAAAAGAAGAATCACTAATAAGTCAAACTTTAAGCCAAAACTCTCCCTCTCTTCGCAAAATTATTTATTTTATTCCCTATGATTTACTGAGAGTGAGTAAACAATGATCCTAATACTCATTTTTTTTTACTCAGGCCCTAGAAGGGCATGAATTATCTGAAACGATGCTAGCTAGGTCATCGATTTACTCAGTTTAAAAACACAAAAATATATTATTTTGTAGATAAAAATATTTCTAGAAACAAAAATAAAACTTATCTTGAAAACGTTCGTATATTTAAGGAATAACTGTCTCCTTATTCAACTTCATGAAGTGATCAATCGATTGAATTGCGTGATAATTTGCATAAACGCCGAAGGCGCGCTTCATGAAATATGCCTACGTGACAAGTCTGTGTGATTCACACACCAGTAACTCACACAAAACTTAAAAACATTCTTTAAATATTTACATTCGCTGTATTTTTCTACTAAGCCAACTGTGAAATTGATTTGAAAATAATTTTCGTGTATACTTACGCGTAGAAATATACACAGAGAAACATGCGTTACCGTGACGTCACAATAGGGCTACAGCGACGTTAGTAAAAGTATTTAAAAAATAAGGTATCATTTTTGAACATCTATCGGGATATAAATACGGGTTGGTCACGAGATTAAATTCCATAAAGCCCGAAGGGCTTTATGATGAATTTAATCTGGTACCAACCCGTATTTATAGTCCGAAATACGTTTTAAAATGATACCTTATTACTTATATTTACATTTGTGATTTATTCATACTTTATATTTGCCTGAATGTGACTTTTAACGTGTGAAATGCATTATTTTTCAAACCTAACGGCATATATGTAATCCACTGAACGCGCGTCGACCCTTTATGACGTCACAGAGAAATTACGTCGAACGTTTATCTATACGCACATCTATGACCTCTTGACCCCGTACCTGTATTTATACAGTTATAGATACGCATTGCTTTCAGTAGTGTTATATAAAAGGAAAACATTTGCAAATGTAAATATAACGATATAAAGGCAGCGAGAAATTCAAATATTGAGTATATTTTCGGTGCTTCCAAACATGTAAAATGTAAATATAAGGATGTTTTTAAGTTAAGTGTGAATTATTGGTGTGAGAATCACACAGACTTGCACGTACAGTGGAGTCGCCAATTCCGGGTCGTCTCCAATTCCGGGTCACTCGCGTGTATTTTAAGCCTAGTGTTAAAATTTAAGCGCATAAAACTTAATGAATACGCTGGTCATGAAGAACTGGGCTTTCTGTATGCAATTAATTACAAAATTTTGAATATAAACTTTAAGAGAGCACCCGACAATCGAAATTCTGAAAAGCACGCATTAAAGACATGATGTTTCTGCTGCGGTGACGGGCTACTTTCGTTTTTGTTCGCTGCAGAAAGGCTGATGTAAAAGTTCTAGATAAATAATGATGGCTCGAAAGTATGTCAAATGCATTTAGTTTTAACTCAGAAATCAATCATAATGATCGCTGCTCAAATAAAAGTATTATGATTATTAAATCAAACTGTAGTAGTTTCTCCAATTGCGGGTCACGCAATCTCGTAGCATGAACATGTCAAAATTCTATGTACAAAACCAATCGACAACCATGTATTTACCTTGATTTTTCTAACTGGAAAATATTTTTTCTAAATATTAAAATCGAGTTAACCATTCAAATGCATTTTTTAATAAATTTAATTATTTTTAATCCTAATACATTTTTTAACTCGGCATTAGTTTTGTTGTAATTGTTTTAAAAATAATTTAAACATATTTCTGTGGTTGTTTCACTTTTTTTCCAAGCTGCATGAATTGTTTTATTTTTCAACATTATAAAAATCGTGTTCCGAAACGTTCCATGGATATTGCACGACCGTGAAGTCACACGACCCGGAAATGGAGAAAATTATTCGTAACTGGGGAAGCTAGGCCTTGCTGAAATAGCCCTGTAAATATTGTTCCCGTGTAGCTACTTTGAAAACGAAAAGATATTTGGATGACTCACAATTTGTTCTTTCAATACATATATTGCATAAAATATAAGTTGAAAAGATTTGCAAAATATCAAAGAAACATCCTGACGTGACCCGGAATTGGCGATTTCACTGTAGGCATATTTTTCATGAAGCGCACCCCCCCCCCCAGTAGTATAAGCCGTCCAGATAGCGCGGAAGTGACGTCATAACCGGAAGTGGTTTAACCGGAAGTGGTCGGAAATGACGTCATAACCGGAAGTGGGCTATCGGAAGCGGAAGTGGGGTAGCTGGACCTTAAGTGGTCTAGCGGAAGCGGAAGTGGGCCCTAGCGAAAGCGGAAGTGGGCTAGCCAGAAGTGTCCGTAACATGAAACAGGCTAGCTGGCCGGGTCAATATCTAGGACTTTATGCAAATGAGGTCAAAAAATGGAGGATTCTGATTGGCTGGGGGGATAGGGGGTTCAACTCAGTCCTTGGGGGATTCAGTATATAGCTCTAAATATAGTGTTTTACACTATACTGTAAGGACCGTGTGCAAAAAAATTAGGGTCGTGTGCAAAAAATAGGTTGGACTTACCTATGAATGTGACGTCATCCACTGTATAAATACAATGTCATTATGACGTCACGCATTCATTCACAGTCTAGCCAGCCTAACCGGTTTAAACTGGTTTTACTGAAAAAAAGACAAGAACACAAACAATACAATAACAAGACAATTTTTATTCAGAATGAAAAAATACATCCAATTACATTTTCTTTTTCTTCTGTGCCTTTTCTGTGGTCAGGGAAAGTTTCCTCTTGGTTTCCTGAGGCTTTTTTTCTTCAGTTTTTTGTATGTATTTTACCAATACGTAGCATGGATCCATCTGTTTAATTTTCTTACTCTCTCCCGATCCCCCTGGTCCTTCTTTTTTCTGGTAATTACTTCCTTCTCTCATTTTATCTTTGCTGTTTATAACTTCTAATTTGAATAATTTGCCACGAATCACAGCAAATTCACTGGTGTTGTAAGTTTTCAGTTTATTTAGCTTGTTATCAATATCACTCACCTTGGTGTTCAGTTTATTCAGCTTGTTATCAAGATCCCTCATCTTGTTGTTGACATAATTCAGTTTGTTATCAATAACAGACAGCATGTTAACAATCCCATCCAGAGTTGTATTTAAGATGCCCATATCTTCTTTATCCACATATTCAGGAAAATTATACATGTCCAAATCAAGTGCATCCTGTGACTCTTTCAATGGAGCTCCTACATATTCTACAGGTGTTAGATAATACTGGGGATTTTCTGTGGTATTCATCATTGCTACTATTTCTTCATCTCTGTCCAGTTTTGAAATATCAACTAAGACTGATCTTTAAATTTTACAGTTTTGCTTTATATATAACTGATGTGGGCCGTGTGCACCTTTTACCTGCCTTTTCTTATACCTGTTGCATCATCTGTAAAGGACCGTGTGCAAAAAAAAAAAAAATTAGGGTCGTGTGCAAAAATACCATACACCTAAGTTTTTTATGCTGACTATACAGGTAATACTAGAGGGGTTGTGTGCAAAAGAAATATACGTTTTACCTGCGTTTTCTATGAGGGGGTAGAAAATGAGAAGAAAAAGTAAAAATTGATTTTACTGTGGCAGGACATAGATGCTATGGAAAAAAAAGTATGTATTCAATACGGAATGAAATGGCTGGAAATTTCACACAGGCTAGGAAAATCAGTGACTTTTAATACCAACCTCAAAAATCAAAATCTACGAATTACTACCCCCTGAAAAGCCCTTGGATGCAATTAATAGCGGATCGAATACTATTCCGGAGGAAAATTTTACAGTTAAGAAAGCTTTTTGTTAGTTTTTTAAGAAATAAAAATCATGTAAACATCACTGTTATGTTATTGTATGACGTCATCTTTTATACACTCGGGTTCGGGGTTTCCCTTCAATTTCGCTTTGTCACTGTGGTGGCGCTGTTTTCCAAAAGCGATTTTTTTGTTTTAGCCAATCACATTTGATCACATGATGGATTGTTGATATTTGACTATCGTCTGGTATTGTGTATAAATACAGACCCTCCGAGCGCTCAGTATCATTCCTTCGTGGCTGATTCTACAGATTATACACAGAGTGAGAATAAGAAGAAAGAAGAAGAAACATGGAATTTTTATAACCCCTGGAATTGCTATCGAGACCAGCGTCGTTGTAAGAAGACTGGATATAGGGGAAGAGATATCTCGTTTCAAAATGCTAAGAATACAAATGAATAATGAGGAACAGAGTAGGACCAGGAGGGCACACCCTTACCGGAGGAGGCGAACGCCCCGATCACCGCCCCCACCCCCGCCCAGACCTGTTGTTTCCCAAGCCAGGGCCCCCAGACACGAGCAAGAAACCAGGGAAGGATTCCCACCTGGGGCTTCCGGGTCCCGACCCAGCAGATTTTTTGTTCCCATTGTATGGCGGAGGACGAACCCAGCAATTATTGCTGCTCGCGGTGCATCCAGAGACCCTCCTGTTTGTTATGTACGGCGCGGGTCATAGAACAGGGAATGCCGTGCCCCCTCTGCCGAAACCAGCACCGGATTTTGGTCCCTCTATCCACTAGAGCGGAATTTAGGGAGAGAGAGGATAGTGACAGTTCAGATAATGAAGACATTGGCAGAATGGTGGAGGAGCTCCTAGAAGCCTAGGCGAGCCACCTGGAACCATTTTGAATCCAAAATTCAAAAAAAAAAAAAAACAAAAAAAAAAAAAACAAACAAAACAAAACCAAAAATACCAAAAAAGGCCCTTTTAAGGGCCGCCCAATTGTTTCGAAAAGATGCTTTCATATACAGTCAAATAAGAAACGTATTGTGTCTT